CGTCACTCTATGAAATACAGTTGTTAAAAAAAAAAAAAAAAAAACTTGTTGGGAATGAAATTATATAACAAGTCAAGCATATATCAAACTTGTCTCCCATATCAAACTTGTCTCCCACGACTTTTTTAGTATTCCACCCACATGTCATTCACAAGGCGATTCCTAAAACGACCAATCTCTGTACGACTAACACTGCCTCCTGTTACAATTGGCCCTTTAGGGACATTACCATCAGTGTCATCGTCATCAAATTCATCATCATTGTTCGGATCTATTTCGCTTACCGGCACACCATCACAGTAGTACTGACTTAGAAGTGGGTCCCCATCATTAAACATGTGAATGAAATTATGTAGTATTGCACAAACAACTGGAATCTTCACTTGTTTATCCATTGGATACGTATTATTGGGACGCCTTAGGATAAGGAACCTAGCCTTCCAAACCCCGAATGTTCGCTCTATACAATTTCGTAGCGACGAGTGTTTGTAGTTAAAAATATCTCTAGCTCCCTGAAATCCACCACTTCTCCTTCTATAATCAGGCAAATGGTAAGTCCCACCTCTGTAGGGAGCGAGAAAACAATCATTATTCACGTACACCGCATCAACAAGATAGTATTTTCCTGCGTAATTTATATAAATTAGGATGCAATTTATGCCCTATACTATTAATAGTCATAACTACATATACATTATGAAGTATAACCTGGTGGGGGACGTGGGAACTTGAACCTAGGATGGGATAACGCATTCGTGAGCACTCCTGCATCGTGCACTAAACCTTCCCATCCAGATAGCAAGTATGTGAATTTCATATCGAATGAGCAGGCTGCCAATATGTTTTGGGAGTTCACACCCTTCCTATTGTGGTACGCTGTAGGATTTGGAACTCCAATCGGTGTACAAGGTATATGAGTTCCGTCAATTACGCCTACACAATCCTGAACAATAGTATTGGATTGTAGATATTAAAAATAAGAACAATTAAAAAAGTGACTAACACAAGACCGAGATAAAAGAGCTAGAGAACTTACGTCAAACCATGTGTCATATCTTTGACGATTCTGACGTAAAAATCATGCACTTTCTCATAGTTAGGGGGTTTAATAAAATCATCGTGCAGTGCACATATAGCGTCGAGGACATCACTAAACCACTGTGAAATGGTCTCTCCAGAATATTGCCATATGTCTTGAGCTTCACGATTAGTTTGACTTTGGCAAGCAATTGTTAAAAACACAAATAATTGTTCTGGTACGTTTATGTTGTACGAGGGTTGTAACAACCGTCTTTCAGTTAGTATGTCACAGAGAACCATAAATGCACGTGGTCCCATACGCACCTTGTTAAACATAGTAGCTTCATTATTGTTTGCTAACAACTCATTTACCTTATCGATGCCCCTCAGAGAAGAAATGTGCACAGGCCTTGGTACTGTGTCAATATCCAAAAACGCGGCAGTGGCTATTGTAGCTCCGGTTGCAGCCATAAAGCATCGTTGTCGTCTGGCAGCTGCCCTTCTTTGGTGATCATCATTTGAATGTCCGGATCCTTCTCCATGCATCTTGAAGCTTCACGGTTTAACCTGTACACAACATAATCTCATATAAAGATTACAACATAGTTTTCCACTTGGCCAACAAAGTGCCATATATTTTCAAGAATAGAATCACTTTCCATTGCATAAACAGAAATCCGGGGTACACAGTCATACTCAAATTAAAATAATAGTATAGTCTCATACGAAAGAAAAGTAACAATAGTACAGTCTCAAATCTGGGGTTTTACAACTTGACCCATCATAACACATATGAAACACACAAATAAAGACTAACGAAATCACTAATTCGTGGTCAACTATAAGGGGAAAATGGTCCATCTCATACTACATCATGCGGAGAAATAAGCAAGTGACAATGCATTTTAAGGAGTTGGTGGACGGCTATAGGGGTTAGGTGGCTGGCTGAAGGAGTTCAGGGACTGTCCAAAGGGGGGCGGTTGCTGGTTGTAGGGGTTTGGTAGCTGATGGAAGGAGTTTGGGGTCTGTCCAAAGGGGGTATGTTGTTGGCTATAAGGGTTAGGTACTTGCGAGAAGTTTGGAGGTGGCTGGCTATAAGGATTAGGAACAAATAGGGTTTGGGGCACTTGAACAAAGTCATGTAAGAAGGCTCTCCTAGTTCCGTCATCAAGATCTGGCCAAATTGGACGTCATGCGGCATCCTTAGCTATTTTATCAAATGCATGGGCACGTGTACGCGGATCAATTCCCATTTTCACCAATGACGATATTATCATCCTCGCTTCACTTGGTCCATTGACGGTGTTGTTACTCGGAAGGCTCTCTTTGCTTGATTGAATATCTTATGTCATACCACTGTACTGCATATTGTATGTCGCATCATATTGTATCGGAACGTCATACCACTGTACTACAGCTTCTGGATTAGGTTAACATTTGCGAAGCATCGAGACATGAAACATGTCATGCACGTGAGATAGTTCAGGCGGTAAAGCTAGACGATATGCCACGACACCAACTCGTTGCACGATTGGGAATGGTCCAACGTATCTTGGCGCGAGTTTCCCTTTTACACCAAAATGAATAACTCCTTTGTGTGGGGAGACCTTCAGCAAAACGAAGTCGCCTTCTTGAAATTCCAAAGGTCTACGCCTTCTGTCAGCATAACTCTTTTGACGACTTTGAGCTGTTAATAATCATTCCCGAATCACAGCTATCTTGTCATTATTCTCTTGGATAACTTTCGGTCTAGTAGTAAGCCGATCATCTGGTTCCAGTGAACAAACAGGTGATCTACACGGTCGACCATACAAAGCTTCAAACGGTGCCATACCGATACTGGCCTGATAGCTGTTGTTATAAGTGAATTCAGCAAGGTAAAGATATTTCTTCTAGTTTTCTCCAAAATCCAGAATACAAGCATGAAGCATGTCTTCCAAAATCTTAATAACTCTTTCAGATTGTCCATCAGTCTGAGGATGAAATGCTGTGCTAAAATTCAATTCAGTTCCAATGGCTTCCTGGAAACTTTTCCAATATCTTGCATTAAAAAGAGTATCGTGATCTGACGTAATCGATAACGGTACCCCGTGAAGTCTCACGACATGCTCCAGGTACAAGTCTACCAGAATCTTCTGAGAATACGTCGCACGAAACGGTATGAAATGTGCAGATTTCGTCAACTTGTCCACCACCACCAAGATGGCATCGTGCTTTTGCTCAGTTTTCGAAAGTCCCATCAGAAAATCCATCCTGATGTGCTCCCATTTCCACCCCGAAACAGGTCGGGACTGTAACTCTCTTGCTGGTTTATAGTGCTCAGCTTTAATCCGGAGACAAGTTACACATTCTGAAATGTACTCATGAACGTCTTTCTTCATACCTCTCAACCAGTATAGCCTCTTCAGGTATTGGTACATCTTGGTGCTTCCCGGATGAATAGCATACCTCGATTTAGCCTCATGCATAATCATCTTCTTGATTTCATCCACCTTAGGAATAGCTAGGCGATTACGGAAATAAAGTGCTCCATCCTCTCGGATTCTCCAATCTTCAAGTTACTCTCCATTCTGGATTCGAATCCAAATTCCTTAAAGATGAGAATCCTGCCACTGATTCTACTTAACTTGTTGCACAATGGCCGGTGTGGAGATCAGATTATACACCATTGCTTTGTTATAACCCTTGTAGTACTGAAGATCTTATTTGCTCACCACTTTAGTTCTTTTCCAGTCCTCCAAAGCTAATAACACCAGAGTCCCCGAAGTCTTCCTACTGAGAGCGTCGGCTACCACATTAGCTTTTCCCGGATGGTACTGCAGTGTGAAGTCATAATCTTCCATGTACTCCACCCATCTCCTCTGCCTGAGGTTCAGATCTTTCTGAGTAAACTAGTACTTCAGACTTTTGTGCTCAGAGAAGACCTGAAACTTTGCTCCATAGATATAACATCTCCATATCTTCAGAGCAAATATCACCGCTGCTAATTCTAAGTCATGAATGGGGTAGTTATGTTCATGTGGTCTCAGTTGGCGAGATGCATAGGCTACAACGCATCCACCTTGCATCAAGACACAACCAAGTTCACTCTCCGAGGCATCAAAATATACCTTATATGGCTCCTCAATATTGGATATGGTCAACACTGGGGCACTTGTCAGTCTGGTCTTCAATTCCTGAAAGGCATGTACACACTCAGCGTCCCATTCAAATCTGACTTCTTTCTTAGTCAACTGAGTCATCGGTGCAGCAATGCTTGAGAAGTCCTTTACAAAACGCCGATAGTATCCTGCTAGTCCGAGGAAACTTTGAATCTCTGCCACATTCTTCGGCCTTTCCCACTGTAGCATAGTCTTGATCTTAGAAGGGTCCATAGAAATTCCTTGTCCTGATATCACATGGCCAAGGAACTTCACCTCTGTCAGCCAGAAGTCACGCTTCTCCTTTTTCGCATACACCTGGTGTTCACGAAGAGTTTGAAGAACAATTCTCAAATGCTGCTCATGTTCTTCCCGAGTCTTTGAATAGACCAAAATGTTGTCGATGAAAATGATCACAAATTGATCTAAATAAGGTCGAAAGACCCGATTCATTAGATCCATGAACGCAACTGGGGCATTCGTCAACCCGAAAGGCATCACCAAGAACTCAAAATGCCCATACCGAGTTCTAAAGGTAGTTTTAAGAATGTCTTCCTCCCTAATCTTAAGCTGGTAGTATCCTGACCTCAAGTCAATCTTAAAGTAATACTGTGATCCACCCAACTGATTAAATAACTCATCGATCCTCGGCAGTGTGTATTTATTCTTCACAGTTACCCTATTCAATTGACGATAGTTAATACACAACCGGACAGACCCGTCATGCTTCTTCACAAACAACACAGGTGCACCCCAAGGGGAAGTGTTGTTCCTTATATACCCTTTTTCCGCTAGCTCCCCGAGTTACTTCTTTAATTCTCTCATTTCTGCAGGTGCCATTCAATAGGAAGGAATAGAAATAGGGGCCGTTCCCGGAATCAAATCAATGCCAAATTCAATCTCCCGATCCAGTGGTAAGCTGGGTAGCTCTCCAGGAAAAACATCTGCAAACTCATCCACCACAGGAATTCCCACACTGTCTCTAATTACCTCGGGTTCACCTTCTAGAGCAAGAAGGAAAAAGAAGCAAGCGAGGTTCCTACGTCCCCCAACGCTGTATCTCAACAGCTGTTCTTCCAGGACTGGATTCATATCCACTTGATAAGTGATTATCACTCCGGATTTAGTCATCAAAGTCACTCTCCTACGGTAGCAATCGACAATCACACCGTATCTTGCCAACCAATTCATTCTGAGTACCACGTCAAACAGACTCATCGGAAGGATTACTAGGTCAACTCTCAATCGCTCATCTTCAATCGTGATTTCACACAATCTACACACAATAGTTACCTCCACACATCCCAGCGGGGAGTTCAAAGTCATTGGGGTTTCCAAGCTTTTAGATTTCAGTTTCAAGGCTTGCACAAAAGAACTTGACATAAAAGAATGAGTAGCACCAGTATCAAACAACACATGTGCTAAGGAGTGAGAGATTAGGAGCATACCCTCAACCACCGTGTTGTTGGCCTGTCCTCCAGAACTACCTCCTGTCAGGGTATAAGCTTGTCCATGTGCTTTCCCTTTCCATCTATCACTAATGTTAGGGCGTTGGATCCTTGGCCTATATTGTTGTGGCAGAGACATCTGCACTGGTCTCGACGCTTGATGCCGAAACTGTGGATATTAAGACAGACAGTAGGTTGGCACATGAGGGTATGGCATTGGCATTGGCATTGGCAGCTGCGACTGGTAGGGTGGCATGAACTGCAGTGGCCTTCCCTGACTATAGGAAGCGTCACTTTGGGACTGTTGAGTCGGTGACTGATTTTGATTTGGACAGTTTCTCCTAATGTGACCAATCTGTCCATAATAATGGCACTTAGGTCTATAAGGAGCACTCATGTCGCTTCCAGATGAACTATTGCCACCACTGATTATGTCTCCAGTAACCTGCCTTTGGTTACGGTTTCTTCTACCGCTCCGTTGTGGCCCACCTGAAACAGAGGGTCCACCAGAAGCAGGAACTCGACCAGCTGCTTCCTTGCCTTGTTGATATGCTAAGTTATCCTGCTCCACACTCGTAGCAGCAGCCACCAGGTCTCAAAAATTTCAGATCCTTAGAGCCACCAAGGGTCTCCTTACAGAATTCTTAAGACCTTTCTCAAATTTCAGGCATTTCAAATGCTAAGACTCTACCAGAGATGGCGTAAAGCGGGACAAGTCATTAAGCTTAGCCTCGTATTCGCTTATCGACATATCGCCCTGTTGCAAGGTCATAAACTCCATTGCCTTCTGATCTCTATAGCTCTGAGGGAAGTATTGTTCATTGAAGAGAACCTCAAACTGTTCCCAAGTCATTACCGCAACATCTTGCCTTCTTCTTACTTGCTTCCATCAGTTGCTTGCTTGGCCCTCCATCTTATACACCGTGAATTCTATCTAATATTCCTTCGGCACTCCCATAGTATTCAGGTGTTTAATTATGGAGTCAAACCAGTACTCCGCTTCTTGGGGTCCTCCCTGACTATTGAATGTGGGGATAGGTGCACATCTATCTGAGCTCGAGTGGCCATGCCTTGGAAAGTGGCATACATGGCAACCATGAACTCTTGATTCAGTGGTGCCGGATTGTTTACCGACCTACGACGCAGTGACATCTCCTTTAACTGAAAACAATCTAGACTGTTTAGTGGATTCCTAATGTCTCACATGTATGTATAATCATGTGGTTTATAAACCTAAGGTCTCTGATACCACTTTGTCACGCCCCGGGTAGGAGTCGGTGACGTGGAGGCTCAATTAGGAGTTAAATGTGAGTAAAATAAGATATTAAGGAAATTCCTAAACAAGCCTCCCGTTTAATTGAAAAGTACATTCCAGGGAACAGGTTCAAATCGAGCCTCTAACATCTTTTAGGGCTACACCCAAATCAACTACCCACAGGATCTTCAATATTGTACATATATGAACATGTAAAGAACATTACAGATATCAACCACAGTCTAGGAATGCAAATATCAGAGTTTACAGAAATTTTACAATCCTTACATTTATACACCAGGAGGATGAACACATTCCTCTCTTAATTGGATGGTAGCAACTTAGCTACTCCGCACTACTCCTAAAGTCACCTGGGAGGGGTTAAAATTTGTAAAAATAATAAAATGTGAGCGAAAGGCCTAATAAGATATATTTTGAAATAACTTTATAAACGAATAAATAAATAAATGAGTAAATAATTAAACAATGAAATAAAAATGGACATTCAGTTCCAACACAATAGCCAGAACCTTACATCCTTTTTCTCAAAAGAAATATAATTGAAAATCTCTGTATTACAGGCATCAACAAGTAATTTATACTATGATAAATTACTTACATAACCACATGGACAAGCCTATCGCCCCCGGGCCAGGTTTCGGGTCCTGCCCCCAAGGATGCACTCTCTACATCCTATCTAGGCCATCAGCCGGTTTACCGATTCGCAAGATCTCTTGTCTTAAGAAATCATTCATTAAACTTTATGAAACAGTTCATTATACTCCCCAGGACTACAACAAGCCATGGGGGTTAAAATGTTTTTCTTTCGCAAACATGTCTTTTCTTTAAAACATTTGCAAGGCAAAAATTCTTTTGAAAATAGGTTAACAAGGGAAAGGGTAAGAAATCCTACCTTTCAAATATCAAACCTGTGGCTAGCGGTGTACTATTTTAGCTTTTGATTCCTCAAGCCCCCCTCAATCTAAGTCCTCAGCTAACACTGATATAAAATCACACTTTAGGATCCAATTCTCATTCCTAAAGCAATTTCATTCTCAATTATATCCTTTGATTTCCTATTAGTGTGCCTTAATCAATTTTCAAGTTTCATAAATCAATTCATGTTTCAAATCATCATTCCAATGGTTTTAATTCCAAAACAACGATTAAAGATGCAAATCCATTCACTCTAGGTCCCCAAATGAAGCTAATTTGGGTTATCCTAAAAAATCAGGGTCAAAACAGTGTACACCGGTTGACCGGTGACAGAACAGTGCAACACCACCGGTCGACCGGTGGTGTGCACTTTGGTCGACCGCACAGGTCGACCTGTTGTATTGCAATCTGATCGACTGGATAGGTCGACCGGTGAAATCAGTGCTGGATGGCCAGACGGGCCGATCCGAAGAAAATCAGTGTAAACCCTGCAATTTCAAGTTCAAATCTGAAATATCTCAAAAGAAAACCACTAGATCCAGGTTCTAAGTACTAAATCAAGTCCAAAGAACCTAAGATCTCCAATTTCTACCATGGTTTTACTCAAAATCCATCAAAATCTATTTCGAACCAAAAATAAGTTTTTAAATCTGAAAAATCTTGAGATTCAAGAGAGATTTTCAGAAATCTTACCTCGAATCCTCCTCTTGACATTGAAAACTTCTTGAAATTCCTCTTTGGTTCAAGATTTGGTATGATTTGAATAAAAAATGAGAGAGAGATAGAGAGAGAGTGAAGTCGAGAGTGAGAGTGAGAGAGAGAGAGAGAGAGTATGCACGGGAGGAAAGAAATGAAAAGGAAAAAGTAAAGAAAGAAAAGGAAAAGAAAAGGAAAAGGAAAAGAAAAAGGACAGGTGTCACAAATATTTAAAGACAGTCCAGAAATATGGCCATACACACTTATGAATATTTAAATACCTTGAAATTATTTAAATTTACACGTCAGAAACATTTAATATCCAATAATTAATTTATTAAACCAAATTAGGCACACTAATAAATCTCAATTACCTTAATTAATCCCATTTAATTCTTCGGAGTGTTACAACTCTACTCCCCTTAAGGAATTTCGTCCTCAAAATTATGACTTACCTCAAAATGCAAACAGATGCAGATACCGCTCCTGCATCATCGTCTCAAGCTCCCATGTTGCTTCCTCAACTCCATGGTGCTACAATAATACTTTCACTAATGGGATCTCACGATGACGCAAACTCTTCATTTTACAATCAGGGATCTGAACTGGTGCCTCCTCAAATGTCACATCATATTGTATCAGAACGTCATACCACTGCACTACATCTTCCGGATCAGGTTGATATTTGCAAAGCATCGAGACATGAAACACGTCATGCACGTGAGATAGTTCAGGCAGTAAAGCCAGACGATACGCCACGACACCAACTCGTTGCAAGATTGGGAATGGTCCAACGTATCTTGGCGTGAGTTTCCCTTTTACACCAAAACAAATAACTCCTTTGCGTGGGAAGACCTTCAGCAAAATGAAGTCGCCTTCTTGAACATATTTTAACTTTAAAATCCATCATATATTAGGCCCGACGTTGTACCATCATAGCGCACTAGCCACGGAAAGCATGGGGTAGCAAATCTCATACCAACTGTGACAATAAGGCCGGTCACCGGTTACCATCAAGGGTGTACAACGCAATTTAAAAACATAAAAAGACATATATACATTTTTCTTTAAAACCCCATCATATGAGAAATAGTAAAGGTGTCATAGCATCATCATAAACATCAAAATCATATACTTTTTAATTTTTTTTTAATTCATGTTGCAGGTGAGAGTGTACTTACTTTAGCGTCTTGCTTAACCTTTTTAAATTTCTCAATGGTGACGTGACGAATGAGGTCCTCTGATGCTCGCCTCTACAACCGTTCATGCCATAAATCATAAACAAGATTACTAAAAAGCCTTAACAACTCATCAAACACATTGATCACGTTAAAACAACGCCTAATAGACCATTCTCATCATCATTAACATCAAGATATAAAAACCCGTTAACTACACAAAATCACAAAACTTAGCAAAAACTGGCAGCCTGACCTTTACTCTTTTAAAAACTCATAACAATTCACACAGAACTCTATATAACCTGAAACTAATTTCAAATTAAAGTAGACATCTAGAGCTTTCAAAGGGTATCTAATTTTCTAAAAACGGAGTTTGTTTGTTCCCTTAAAAACTATTTTAAAATCAGAACATGAAACCTGGAAAAATTCCATATTCAACATGAAACCTGGAAAAGAGTTAGGTCAACTTCTAGAATTTCCTTCTTGTTCGCGTGCAGTAACCTGGTCGAAGACTGCTGGATATCCGGATGGTATACTGGCCACATATTCTTACTTCGATGCCTGATTTGCGCAAATGAGAAGACGTTGGAAAGCTTATGAAAGGATCTAAAACTTTGTATAAACTAATGGAATAATTTCAGAATTTTAAAGGTCTAAAATTGAGCTGAAAATTAACGCCATGGAAATGATTCTTTTGTCTAAAAAGAAAAATCAAGGAAAAACTTAAGATTTTCTTAAGACACTTAATTTCATGCATTATAACATGAAGTACATCATATTATGAACATATATTCATTTATCAAATCATAAAAAAAATTAACACACATATATATATATAATTTCTATAAAATAGCATGAACTTGTTCTTTGCACATTCACCTGTAAAATATGACTCAACATGATGTTAGAATAAATTAATTATAATACCATAACATTATTCAAGTTAATTCCTAACGTTTATTTCTAAGAATTTGTCAGTTAGAAAAATGGGTGTTACTATGATTTTTCTTATGAATATGGCTAGCTACAATTAAATTGTTTAGGGACAAAAACTAATATTCTAAAAATTAATATGAAATATGTGCAGTGCTCTTTGGAAAGTTTTATTCTTAATGCCCGTAATGTTCTCTTTGATGCCAAATCATTCATGCAGGTAAAGATTATTGGGAAAAATAAATCAGAAAAATAAATTTAGCTGACGTATAATTCAATCAAATCTTAAAATAATTGACTCTAAAATGTCGCAAATTCGTTGATGTTCAAACAAATTCCGTTAATTGAGACTAAGCTTCGATAAGAACTGGCAAATCTTTTTCTCTGTGCATACCAGATTTCATTAAGTATGACGGAGGAGATTATCCATATTCAACAACCCATATAAATAGAGCATAATCATATCATTAAGCATAAACATACAAATCATAAAATACAGGGATTCAGTACAATAAAAATATGAAGTATTTTATTGCTTAGTTAACACATGCAAAATTGATTATGTCCTTAAACAAAGTAAATTAACACCCTTTAGATTATACAACAGATGTAAACAAAAATTTTGGGCTAACAGTTTGTGCAAGTGAAGACGCCAAAGCCCTTTTTTTCCGTCAAAAGATGGCAACAAGAGAAAATCGCCATGACCTGCAGTCCAATTACAAGTTAGTTTGTGTATTTACCAATTTGGGGCAGGAAAATTACAAGCAAAAATAAGGAGAATACCTAATATATTTTAGTTGGTTCTTCGTCCTTGTCCACTGTTCTCAATGCTAATGTAAGCATTTCTGATATGTTGTAGCTCCCGGGTGACATTTCCCATCTTCATTCTTTCATTTGGTGATTCTTTTGAACATGCAATTCCAATCTCCAACACCGAAATCAAGCACTTCCACAGATGAGCGCTGATCTGGTTTCCTAACCCTACTTCTATCTCAATCTCAGTGCCTCCAATATTGTTGTTGTTGTTTCTTGCATCTAATTCTCTCCTCATCAGTGCATTTTCTTCTGCTTCTCTAGGTAGAAGAGAAGAATCCACTATTTCAACAAGTCTTTCGGGCAAGGCCATTGCAACGAAGTTATGAAGATTGAAATCGTCTTCGAAAATTTCATCGGTGGGTCTCTTTCCAGTGAACATCTCCAATACAAGAATGCCATAGCTATACACATCACCCTCTCTTGATGGCTCTCCACCCATTGCATACTCTACAATTCATAAAGATGTAATAGTATATAGTATTGATTAAGATGTAAAAGATCAAGTCTAGAGATTTCAATTTTCAACTGAGGAGAAAGAATAAATGCTAAAATGTAAGTATATGTCATGCATCTAATAGAAATCTGGTTATATTTGTGTATCTCAACCTCAGTCTGTAAAAAATGAAAAATAAATAAAAATAAAAAATAAATAAAAAAACGTCAAGTCATTACACTCAAATTTTGTTCAAGGAATCGTAATTCGATAGCTTTCTGTTAGATGGAAATAACATTGATTATTCAATAGAGACATTTTTTTGTTTACGTTTGGGAACAATATTATTAGATTTTAGAATGATGCCAATAATATACATATCTTAGCAAAAGCTTAAATACATCAAGTAGTAAATATTTAAAGTTGTTACCAGGAGCAGCATAGCCAATTGTTCCCTTCAATCCGGTTGTGCTAGTCTGACCATTCATGGAGCTGATTGTGTTTGATACCAGCCTTGCTATACCGAAGTCACTTACATGAGCTACCATTTCATTGTCGAGAAGAACGTTGCAAGGCTTCAAGTCGCGGTGAATGATCAGTTGGTCACAATCATCATGAAGGTAGTGTATTGCAGAAGCCACATCAATTGCAATATTTAATCTTTGAAGTAGGTTCAAACCTGTTGAGTAGTTTTCATCATTACTCGCTAGATGCAACCACTTCTCTAGGCTTCCACTGGACATATACTCAAAAACTAGAGCCTTAAATTCATCACCCTTGTAATCTATGCTAGAGCAACATGTCAAGATCTTAACAAGATTTCGATGCCTAACATTTCGTAATGCATTACATTCAGCAATGAAACTCTTCCCTTCACCCTTGTAATCTATGCTAGAGCAACATGTCAAGATCTTAACAAGATTCGATGCCTAACATTTCTCAATGCATTACATTCAGCAATGAAACTCTTCCCAGCTCCCTTTTGCTTGAGATTGAGAACCTTCACTGCAATTGGATTTTCTTCTCGGTCAAGAATGCCTTTATATACAGAGCCAAAGCTACCTGTTCCTATCAACATGCTTGAAGAGAATCCATTGGTAGCTTCAAAGAGCCTCTTGTATGAAATCTTCGAAAGAACACTTAGTTTTGGTAGCATAACAGTTGTCTGCCTTTGTGATGATCTCCTCCAACATAACATTATGAATCCTATGGAAAAAAGGAAAAATGATGCCACCAATACTATTATGATGGTTAGTTTGAGGCCCTTGGTCTTTCCCTTTTTTGACCTCGTTTCAGAGCATGTTTGAAGATGCAATTTTGGAACACCACCACAAAGCTTAGTATTTCCAGCTAATGACACTCCACTTATGTTATGAAATACACCGTCATTAGGAACTTCTCCCTCCAAATCGTTAAAAGAAAGATTTAAGTACACCAAAGAATGAAGATTCTGTAAATCTTTTGGAATTTCACCTGTCAAGTTATTACGTGAAAAATCCAAATACTGAACACCTTTCAAAGAAGCCAAAGTAGATGGTAAGGTTCCCTCAAAGGAATTTCCTTGTAGGAGAAGGAACTCAAGAACCTGACAATCACCGATGGTTTCTGGAATTTTACCGGTCAGATTATTTTCAGAAAGGTCGATTGTATGGATATTCTTTAGCTTTCCCACTTCTGCAGGTAGGTGACCGGTCAATAAGTTATGTGATAAGGTGAACAAGGTGGACAAGGAGGAAAGAAGAAAAATTTCTCTGGGAATTTCTCCAGTTAATCTATTGTTTGAAATGTCAAGGGTTTGCAAATTATGACAATCTGCAATTTTCATTGGAACACTTCCTTCTAGCTTGTTATCCGATAGATAAAGCTCAAACAATTGAGTAAGGTTTCCTATGGACGTGGGGATTTTTCCTGATAGCATGTTCATATCCAAATGCAAAGCTTGCAACTTTTTGAGCTTCCCTAATGAAGTAGGAATGACACCAACGAAAAGATTCAAGTCGAGGCCCAAGACGATTAAATTGGCCAGATTTCCTAAGGCTGATGGAATGTTACCGGATATTTGATTTCCCCCAAGATAAAGATTAGATAGTGTGGAAGAGAGATTGGCTACATAGTTTGGTAAAACACCTTTAAACTTGTTCGTACTCAAGCCCAACACTTGCATCTGGCTACAATTTGTTAAAGGGGCGATAAAATCCAAATTATTCGGTAAATGACTTCCTAGACTATTATCACTCAAACCAAGCCACCAGAGTTCTCTAAGACGCCCGAAACTTGCTGGAACTTCGCCTGAAAAGTTATTGTTATCCATACCAAGTGCTTGAAGTCTAGAGGCATTGGAAAATGATTGAGGGATCACTCCAGAGAATTCATTATCACCCACATAAAACTCTTGGAGATTAGGGAGTGTGAGGCCAATTGTGGGAGGAAGAGTGCCTTTTAACTGGTTTTCTGGGATTGCGAAGCTGACCATGGAGGATATATTGTAAATAGAAGAAGGGATTTTACCGGATAAATAATTAGACCCTACTGAAAAGACAGATAAATTTTCCCATCTCCCTAACTCATTGGGAACTCTTCCAAAGAGATTGTTATAGGCAACAGAAAATAGATTAAGCGATGAAATGTTTCCCAAGGAAGGTGGGATACCCCCCGTGAGATTGTTTGACTCAAGATTAAGAAAACGAAGCTTCACCAAAGATCCAAGCTCTTGAGGAATCAACCCAGTAAGTCTATTTGTGCCAATATTTAAAATACTAAGTTTTGAGCAATAACTTAAGTTGGCTGGGATATTACCGTCCAAAATGTTTATAGAAATAATGAGATGTTATATCAAAATGTTATAAAATACAATATTTATGCTTTACGATGTAAAGTTATTTATTCCTTTCTTATTATTAAATGTTGGAACTTTTATTAGATGTTATTGAGAATAGGAGAAAAAAGGGAATAACTTTTTGTAATGAAGTGCCAAGATAAAAATGTAAAATAAAAACATTCAATAAAAAACGTATAGATAACCAAAAATAAAAATGAATAAGACTAAAATTCAAGAAATTAAATAGTGCTGAATATAGAAGGTCATGCAATAATATGCCATATTCTCGTAAATGAGTAAAAGATAAAGAAGAAAAAACAGAAAAAGAAACAGAAAAAGTAAACAATGATAAGACTTGATAGATTGAGACTAGAGAGAGATGGCTAGGAACGTAAGGAGGGAATAAAAAAAGCAACAAAACCAATTCAAATACCACTAAAAGACCGTAAAATTATTATTTATGCCACGCTATTAAAAAATAAAAAATAAATAATTATTATTTAATTAATAATTCAAAGATATTTAGGGTCTTGTTGGAGGGTGAGGCTTTGGGTAGTAATTTTAAGAGACGTTTGGTTGATGGATTAAAATCATAATATTAGAACTATTTTTAATTTACGTGTATTTTTTATCAGAGAAAAAATTGTAACAAATTATAAACCATGATTCAAATCATAGTATGAATTCTACAACTAAATATCTCCTTAGCTATTTTACCCTTTAGCCTGCCCTGCTTTGGTTTTTTTTTTCTTTTCTTTTCTTTCTTTCTTGAATAGTCCTTGCACCGATTGATACGTTAGAAAAGAGAGAAGAGACTAGCTGATGCCGTGCAGAAAGAATTAGTCTTTTTGGTGAGTTGAAAACATCTTAAAATTAAATAACAAAATTTTTAATTTTCATGAGGTCTTTTGAAGATGTTCAATTTAGACAAAAAATATTTATATTAACTGATCCTATGTCATACATGTTTCTAAGTCACCCCAAACTTCCTCCCATTTCCAAAGAAATAAGCAAATAAATCGTCACAAAAAATGTAAGACAAAAATAGAGATCATAAAAACGTCACACAGAGAGAGAGATATATATATATTTTCCATCATTAACGGCCAAACTTCACTTTCCAAGTTAAAATATTTTGAATGAGAGAAACTGCAACCACACGACACCTAGGAGGAGAACGCATGGTGCCAAATCAATCCTTTTTTAAAGGCCAATCGAAGTTTTGTCCAAAAACATCACCCTCCAATTTTACTTTCCTTTTTTTAATAAAAGTGGTTGCTATTCTTGACGACGAGCTTTAACAACCAAGTTGGCCGTCCTCTAGTGTTGGTTTTATGCCAAAGTCGTCACTCTATGAAATAAAGTTGTTAAAAAAAAAAAAAAAAAAACAAAAAAAACAAACAAACAAACAACTTGTTTCTGTTCCTTCCCCACCAACTTGGTAATGACTTAGTACATTGACATTAATGTAGTCAGTCAATGCCAAATTTGATCATATCAACAACAGCAGGCCGATATATAGTATGATGCATATATCCTCCACTTAGTGGTACATACATAGCATATTATATACATATAGATATATATATATATATATATCTAAATATATATTAGTCTTTGTTGACGGTGTTTTTCCGTCAACTCATGATTGCCTCTCCGAAAACGACACGCGTTTACACTCACGGTCTAGTTAAGGATTAATGCACAAAGATAACACACGGGAGACAAGAGGTTTATAGTGGTTCGGCAATAACTCTTTGCCTAATCTACTTGTGCATGCACAAATATTTCAGTCAGTTACAAATTCTCTCCCCTCTGATGATGAAATGGTGTCCAACCCTTTTCTGGGTTCTTCTTGCTCTATTTCTAGGCAGTTACAAACAACTAAGCATTTTCCGTTCCCAAGGAGGAAGCCATCTCCCATCCTTGATATTCGGGAGGATAGGTGAGTTTTCATGATGACAATCTCAGGAAATGCGGCTGGCCCCTCTCATCTGCCGCACGATCCACTGAATCCTGCAGTAACCGTTGGATTGGTGCTTCCTTCCCCGAGTTGACAAGACCATTGACGGGCTTGACTCGGCGGGATGCCTCGACGCCGTGGCTCTCGAAGGTCGAGTCTCTATCCTCGACGCCTGTCTCCACGTGCGATCTCTCGGCGTAGAGGGCACCTTAGCTACTACCACTCCTCTGACACTAGCGGCCGAGCTAGAACGGTGAGTCCTCGGCGCCTAGTGTCGAGAGCATGGTCGCTGCCTCGACCATGGTGTAACAGTATTGGTTGCCAACCACCTAAAATTGGTTGAAAATTTAAGGCCTCGTTGATTTTATCGATTCGAGTTTAAAATTTGAGTTTTGTTACAGTAAAAAACTCTCATAAATAGTCACATTTAACTTTTTCACTACAGTAAAAAGTTTTCACATAAAGTCACATCTTAATTCAAATCAACAAAGCAAACTTATCAGTGTCATTCCCTAGTGCACCTGCAATGGTATTGTAGCAAGGTTGCAATAAGCTTAGAGAGTGGCTGAGAAGTAGGACGTGGAGGAACATGGACCAAATAGCAAATGGACTAGTGGGGGTTTCAAGTTTCATTTTGGCGATGGCCGTGTAAAGAGAATATCTAATTATTTGATGGTCGAGTTATATGTTGTGTGGGAAAATGTGACGGACACGTGGAAGAACGATGATATGACACGTGGCCTTAACTACTCCCCACAAAGCAACAACCCTCGACGTCTGGGACTCCCTCCCATTTCGCTATAAAGAACCCAAGTAAGAAGTCCAACTTGGGGCGTCGATTCCTTCTGGCGTCGATAAATCGTACCGTCGACCTTAGGACATAAGAATCCCTCGACCGTAGAATCAACCGCCAAGAAGGACAGTTGGGCTAAGCAACATTGGCAACGAGGGGAATGCTCTTTGGGGAAAAACCTGACGTGGCAAGTTGCGTACAGAGGTGGGGGATGTCTGCAAGGGTGGCATTAATTGCGAACCCTTAAATTGCCCCCACAGGGGATAGAAAAAGGTTACAGGAACGCACAGAGCCGTTATAGAAGACTAATTGGCTAAGTGAACAGTACTCCAAGTAATTAGTGGGCTACGTCTGGGCCTAAAAAGGGAGAGCACTCGAGTGAATCTGCCTACAAAGGAAATCAACCCAGTGAAGGAAGCCCCAGTATAAAAGGGGCGAGACCCCATACAGGAAAGGGGTTCAGATCCAAGAGAGAAAAAGAACGAGAGAGAACAATTAATGTAAATTGTAATCCCCTCAAAAGAAATCTACAACCACAGTGGATGTAGCTCTGATTTTATAGAATTAACCACTATAAAATCTCTTGTATTCCTTACTTTTGCATATCTTTGTTAATGCATTATACACCCCTCCAACCAATTCTTATACACATTCAATATTGAGGACGGTAATCCGACAGGAAACCTAGAGGTAACCCGGCCTGTTTTTGTTGACGAGAATTCACCGTCAACATTATAGTTCAAGGCATTTACTCCTCTGCACCCGTATGTGTGTGTGAAGATTGGAAAATCGATATGGAATAACTAACTACGAGAGTATTTTACACTCATTTTCTCCTAAATTAGTCCTTTTTTTGTGGGTTTTCGCACCGGTTGATAGGTTGGAGAAGAGGGAAGATAAGAGTTAAGAAAATCGAACATCTAAGGGCCCACCATGTGTGTCAACGCGTCAAATTGAATGCGTGAGAGTTTAAGGTCGTATTTGAAATTGATCCCGTTTTTGTTTTCACGTTTTTTGAGAAAGAAAAAATGAAAACGTTTTCAAAACGACGTTTGGCGCAATAACGACAAAAAACGGAAATGAAAACGATTTTGTAGTTTAGTGTAAAATGAGTGAGAATGAAAAATAACATTTAGTCATTTTTCATTTTTATTTTCATTTTCTCCTCTATCGAGCAAAGAGAGAGAGACATTAATGAGTTTTTTTTATACTGAAAACAATCTCTTGATAAAACTACTAAACGTATTTTCAAAAATGATTTCTCTCTGAGATTGAAAACATTTTAATTTTCACACAAAAAATAAAATCATTTTGGAACGAGTTCTAAACACGCCTTAATTATTTCCACTATCAGATATTAATTGAAGTTACAACTTTGATTATTTTATAATAATAAAAAACATTTTTCTATTTTTCCTTTTGCCATGTTTATGTTTTGACTCTAATATACGGTTTCTTATCATTTTGTAACTTTGTCTTCTCATTCCTCAAAACCAAATGTTAACTTTAATGTCTCTGCTTATGTAACAAACATGGCGTTACAAATTTGATTTGTTGTGGGGATTAGTTATAATTTTATAATTTATATTGTGCTTAAGCAAATTAACACGAAATCAGGCAGCTATTCTTTGGTGAACGGCCAGCTCAAAGCAAGTTGAAGCCTTAGGCAAATTTTATAAATAGGATTATCTTAAAATAAATTATCAAAATGTTATAAAATATAATATTTATGCTTTACGATGTAAAGTTATTTATTCCTTTCTTATTATTAAATGTTGGAACTTTTATTAGATGTTATTGAGAATAGGAGAAAAAAAGGAATAACTTCTTGTAATGAAGTGCCAAGATATTTAGAAAAATAAAAATGTACAATAAAATTATTCAATAAAAAACGTATAGATAACCAAAAATAAACATGAATAAGACTAAAATTCAAAAAATTAAGGGGTTGTTCTTTTAGAGTGTAATTTGAGTGTAGTTTTTGTTGGGATTTGTTTCCCAATTTGTGTATTGATTGTAATCGGATTTGAGTGGCATTATTTTGAGAATGTTTTGCTGGGATGATTGCGTTTGGAAATGTCTATGTAGCTGGCAAGTTTCTTTTGGCAGGTTTCAAAAAAAATCCAGAAACTTGTTTTAGTTTCTATTTTTCTAAGTCATCCATTGATTTAAAGATGGAAAATTGATTTGATTGATTTTTGATTGAGATTTCATAGCTGGATGATCTTCCTATGTTGCCTAAGAACGTGTCCAGGTTCGTTTATCAGTTTTGGGAAGATTTCAGAATTAAAGAAGATTGATTCGTCTGGTTTTGAGAAAGTTGGCCGTAACAGCTATGTTACAGTGTTGTTGCAACAAGATCTGCAACAACTGTGGTTCAGCGAATTAATTGAAGATGTGTCAAGCTATTCACAGCTTGCTTATTTATTGAAAGTGTTCCTTAAGTCTTGGTACGCCTCTTGATGAGTTTTTACTAGGTTGTGAGACGGGGGTGAGCACTTGTATTGAGTGAGATGATTTGAGTGTTTTTCGGGAGAAAAACTTAGTTGGAGGGATTCCAATGTTAAAAAGTCGAGGGGATCTCGCTGTTCAAGTCCATTGGGAAATTGCAAGTTCATAGGCGTCTTCTTAGAGAGGGAGTCTCGGGGAGATTAAGTCTGATTGAATTGTAAAAGAGTTCTTAGTGGATTGTTCATCATCTGGGCGTTACCCCGCGGAGTAGGGTGTTACCGAACCGCGATACCATTTCTCTCGTGTTCTTTTATTTTATGTTTCTGCATTATTCATATTGTCTTATAAATTGTTAAAAGACTAAAACCGGTACTTACAATTGGTATCAGAGCATGTCACTGACGTGTATTTCGGTGAGGTCCTGGTGTACTGGTTGATTTTGCAGGAATGGATGTCTTGAGAGAAGGAGGATTTGTGAACAAACCACTGCTTCTGGAAGGTGTCAATTACTCCTATTGGAAGGCTCGCATGAAAGCTTTCATTAAAGCTATTGATGAGAAGGCATGGCGATCTATCTTAACCGGATGGACTCATCCAACAACTAAAGATAATGAAGGTAATACCGTCCCGAAGCCAGAAGAGAAGCGATGAGGACAAGCTAGCAAACAGTAATTCAAAAGTATTGAACGCCATTTTCAATGATGTGGATGTTAATCAATTTAAATTGATTTCCACGTGTGAAACCGCAAAGGAAGCTTGGGACATTCTTCAAACTGTGCATGAAGGTACGGATACTGTGAAGGCATCAATGCTTCAAATGCTCACAACTCGCTTTGAACGTTTACGAATGGAGGAGGATGAGTGCATTGCCGATTTCAACTCAAAGCTTTGTGATATTGCCAACGAAGCCTTCACCCTTAGAGAAAAATATTCTGACACCAAATTGGTGAAAAAGACATTGAGATCACTTCCGACACGTTTTGCTTGCAAAGTGACAGCCATCGAAGAAGCAAAAAACGTGGAGAAGATGAGACTTGATGAACTCATAGGTAATCTTCAAACCTTTGAGATGAACTTTAAGGCTAAAAAGAAAAGTAGAGGCATTGCTTTTAATGCAGATTATGATGAGATGTCCACCAAAGATGAGACCGACGAAGATGAGGACTTGAGTGAGTCTCTTACTTTACTCACCAAAAAATTCAATGAAATGCTGAGAAAGATCAACAAGAAAGGGAGATTTGGAGAGAATTCAAAGAACAAAAATTCTCAAAAGAAGAATTTTAATTCTCAACGGTTTGAAGAGAAGAAAAGAAAAGAGGGAATACAATGCCGAGAATGTGAAGGATTTGGACATGTTCAAACGGAGTGTGGCTGCCACGGCATCATGGAGTGATGATTCAGACGAAAATCAAGAGGATGCAGATGATCACACCAGCAATTATGTGGCTTTCACTGTAAGAAATGAATTCTCGGATAAAAATTTATTTTTCACTGATAATGTTGTTACAGAGTCTGTTGCAACAGCGTCTGCAACAACCTCTAGTGGAATTGTTGATGATATAGATTTCGAGGATGAAACTGAAGATGACAGTGACGATGATGACCTAAGCCTTGGGAAGATTCAAGAGGCTTATAAGAAAATGTACAGCAAATGGCTTGTTGTTTGCAAACGAAACAAATCGCTTGAAGATGAAGTTGGTGTCTTAACAAAGGAAAGAGATGAGTTGAAGACGCTGCAACAAATTATGAAATCTGGTTCATCGTCTTTGTCCTCTGTACTCAAATCTAATATAAGCATTTCTGTTATGTTCTAGCTCCCGGATGACATCTCCCATGTTCATTCTCTCGTTTGGTGATTCTTTTGAACATGCAATTCCAATCTCCAACACTGAAACCAAGCAATTACGCAGATAAGCACTGATATGATTTCCAAACCCTTCTTCAATCTCAATCTCAACGTCTCCCATATTGTCGTTGTTGTTTTCTTGCATCTAATTCTCTTATCATCAATGCATTTTGTTCTGCTTCTCTAGGGAGAAGAGAAGAGTCCACTATTTCCACAAGTTTTTCTGGCAAGGCTGTCCTAACGAAGTTATGAAGATTGAAATCATCTTTGAACATTTCATCGGTGGGTCTCTTTCCAGTGAACATTTCCAATACAAGGATGCCATAACTATATACATCACCCTCTCTTGATGGCCCTCCACCCATTCCATACTCTACAATTTGTAATAGCAATACATTTATGAAGTATAAAGTATTGATTAAGAGGTAAAATTTCAATTCTGGAGATTTCAATCCTCCACGAAAGTTAAAAATAGGTACAAATATATGTAAGTGTTTATGCAACTAGCACCCAATTCTATTTGGGTATATCTCATGCCTAGCTGATGATGTTCAAGAGATCGTTACTCATTACCTTTCTGTGATCAATTGATTGAATCCTTTTCCTTTGCACACGTTTCGGAACGATATTTCTTTTATGATTGAATAAAATGCCAATAATAGACATATCTAGAAAAAGCTTAAATAAATCAAGTACTTATTAAAAGTTGTTACCTCGAGCGACATAGCCAATTGTTCCCTTCATTCCAGTTGTGCTAGTTTGAGCATTCAAGAAGCTGGTTGTGTTTGAGATCAACCTTGCGAATCCGAAATCAGTTACATGGGCAACCATTTCATTGTCAAGAAGAACATTGCTAGGCTTCAAGTCACAGTGAATGATTGGCTGGTCACAATCATCATGAAGATAGTGAATTGCAGAAGCCACATCCATTGAGATATTCAGTCTTTGAAGTAGGTTCAGACGTGTCGAGTGGTTTTCATCATTATTCATTGGATGGAACCACTTCTCTAGGCTTCCATTGGACATATACTCAAAGACTAGAGCCTTGAATTCATTGCCATTGTAATCTATGCTAGAGCAACAAGTCAAGATCTTAACAAGATTTCGATGCCTAACACTTCGTAATGCATTACATTCAGCAATGAAACTCTTGTCAGCTCCTTTTTGCTGGAGATTGAGAACCTTCACAGCAATTGGATTTTCTTTCTGATCAAGAATGCCTTTATATACAGAGCTGAAGCTACCAATTCCAATCAGCATGCTTGGAGAGAATCCACTGGTAGCTTGAAAAAGCTTCGTGTATGAAATTTTTGAAAGAACACTTGGTTTTGGGACCGCAACACTTGTTTTCCTTTGTGATGATCTCGTAAAATGCAAAATAATGCAACTTGTGAACAGAAGGAAAATTGCTACCACCAAAACTATTATGATTGTTAGTTTGAGGCCATTCCTTTCCCTTTTTCAGACTTCTTTCTGGGGCATTCTTGAAGATGCAACTCTGGTACACCTCCACAAAGCTTAGTATTTCCGACTAAAGACACGGCACTTGTGTTCTCAAATACACCTTCAGTTGGCACTTCTCCCTCTAGATTGTTAAAAGAAAGATTCAAGTACAATAGGGATTGAAGATTCTGTAGATCTTTTGGAATTTGTCCTGTCAAGTTATTACGTGAAAAATCCATGTACCTAACACCTTTCAATGAGGCCAAAGCAGATGGCAAGGATTCCCGAAAGAAATTCCCTTGTAGGTAAAGGGACTCTAGAATCTGACACTGAGCAATGGTTTCTGGAATTTTACCGGTCAAATTGTTTTCAGAAAGGTCAATTGCATTGATGTTCATTAGCTGACCCACTTGTATAGGTAGGTCACCCGTGAAGAAGTTCCGTGATAAGTCGAGATAAATGGATAAGGAGGAAAGAAGAAAATTTTCTTTGGGTATTTCTCCGCTCAGACTATTATTTGAAATGTCAAGCATTTGCAAATTATGACAATTTACAATTTTTGTTGGAATACTTCCCTCTAGGTTGTTATCTGATAGATGAAGTTTAGACAATTGAGTAAGGTTTCCTAGGGATGAAGGGATTCTTCCTGATAGTATGTTCCCACGCAAATACAATGCTTGCAAATTTTTTAGCTTCCCTATAGAAGTAGGAATGACACCGTTGAAAAGATTCAACTGAAGGCCTAAATAGATTAAATTGGCCAGATTTTCTAAGCCTGAAGAAATATTACCGGATATCTGATTGCCTCCAAGATAAAGATAATTGAGGGCAGAGAAATTGGCTATAGAATTTGGTAAGACACCTCTTAAATTGTTCCCAGCTAAGTCCAACATCTCCATCTGGCTGCAGTTCGTTAAAGATTCAATAAAATCCAAGTTATAACTTCTTAGACTATTACCACTTAAACCAAGCCACCAGAGTTCTCGGAGACCCCCTAAACTTGTCGGAACTTGGCCAAAAAAATTATTTCCAGATATTTCAAGCAATTGAAGCTGGGAAGAATTAGAAAATGATTGAGGGATTATTCCAGAGAGCTTGTTACCACCCACACGAAACTCTTGGAGATTAGGGAGTGTAAGGCCAATTGTGGTAGGAAGACAGCCTTTTAATTGGTTAATGGTGATTGAAAAGCTGACCATGGAGGATATATTGTAAATGGGGAGAGGGATTGTACCCGAGAAATTATTAGGCCCTATTGCGAAATGAGTTAAGCTTTTCCATCTCCCTAACTCATCAGGAACTCTTCCAAAGAGATTGTTACCAGCTACAGAAAACATTTTAAGTGATGAAATGTTTCCCAAGGAAGGTGGGATACCCCCCGTAAGATTGTTAAATTCTACACTAAGAACACTAAGCTTCACCAAAGACCCAAGCTCTTGAGGAATCAACCCAGTAAGTCTGTTTTTTCCAAAATTTAACACACTAAGTTTTGAGCAATAGCTTAAGTTAGCTAGAATTTTACCTTCCAACGTGTTGTTGTAAAGATTGAGATATCGCAGGTGGAACTGTAGTGACCAAGAAAATCTCAAAATTTTAATAATGTAATTCATGTATTTAAGTCAAGGATTTTCCTGGAAAATCATTATACTATGTACATTTTGTGATTGAAGGATTTATGGAATTAACATCTGCATTCCTAAATTCTGTAGCAGATTTCACGTTAAGTTCACATTTTTCCGATCAAGTAAATTCGATCGATAAATTCTCACCGTATTTTAAAACGGAAGAATTTCCAGTATAGATACAGTTAGAGAATCTTAATTTTAAGAATCTCCCAGCACAGTACAACCTAGCATCCAGAACCCGTATACAAGGAAAAATAACTGTCAGTATAATTTTGGACAGTTTTAATGAGTAACTTAAGGGAATGGACAAAAGTACAAGGGGTAGGTTAGTGTGTGTGATTTGATGAGATGTGATGAGAGAGGTGAATAGGACTAATGATTAGTTTTTTTTTTCTCCATTTTCTCTTCACTTGGCCGGCCATCCTTAGGAATTTATATCCAAAAATTTTGGTTATATGTTGAGTATGTTAGAAGGTTACAAGTTAAGGTGATGGGATGGTAGTGGTTGAAGGGGAATTAATGGCAATTTTGGCTTCTCCTTTTCTCCTTCCATAACCGGCCAAGATTGGGGGAAATTGAACCAAAATTTGGTTGATTGAGAGAGTTGATGTGGTGTTAAAAAAAGTAATTTCCAAGTGCCTATAAAAGGAACCACCATAGGATAAGCCTCATTTTTTTTGCACTAGCTTTTCTCTCCCCCTCAAAATCCGGCCATACCATACTCCCCCACTCTTTCTCAAATATTTTCTCCTACTCTCCCAATCTTGAGCCACTACAAACCATAGAAGAAGAAGAAGGAGATCAAAGGGTCTAGGAGGAGTCTAGACAAGCATTTTTTCAAAGGGTATAACTCTAAATCCTTTTTTTATGTTTTAGTAAAGTTTGAAATGTAAAAATATTCCTCTTAAATTTCCTTATACTTTCTAGTTCCAAGCCAATAACAAATCTTAGAGGAGTTCAAGGTTTTCAAGGGAGAGAGATAGTTCTTCAAGGGTAAGCTCTCAAACTCTTCTCCATTAATTTCTAGCCAACTTTAAGCTTGGATTTGTGGATGTAAATTTGTGATTCTTGAGGAGATGAGTTGTAATAAGGGTGTGTGAGTTTTATGTTGGTTTTGTGAGTTTTGAGGTTAGCTTGATGTGGTATGTTTATGCTTGATCTAAGTTGCTTATTTTCAGATTAGAGGAAAAAATTTCCGGTGACTTTGACCGCGAAAATGAGGGCCATAGAGTGAGATTTTTCAATGTTTTAAAACTTGAACTTATAGCCCTGGATGTTTTGAACATTTTCGGTTATTATAACTAAACCTAATTTTAACTTCAAAACCAAGTTTGAAGCCATTTTGTAAAAACGGCCAATCTGTCCAACACAGTTCCAAAAAAAAACTGGCAGCCACTAATTCAGCCAAACGGGACCCTTAAACGCTGAATTTCGATTTTTTACAAAAGTGACAATTTTAGATTTCGACGAGAGGAAGAAATTTCACGAAGAAAAGATTTTCAAAATCCGACCCTAAGAGGTACTAAAACACAGATT